TAGCCGAAGCGTCGACAATGAACAGCGACGCCCCACTTCGCCCTGATGTTGCATCAGGGCCAGCTATCCCCAAGCTCCCCACTATGTTCTCTATTCTGTGTGTTTGTGCCCTCTGTTGAAGAAGTGTGTTGCTCTCCTGTCTGCTTTCTCGCTTTTGTGTTGCTCTCTAGAATGCTTGTTTTGCGTCCTCCTGCTTCGGTTCAGTTGGTGCTGGTAGCACCGTATCTGGTTCTTTGTACCTACAGTCTCCCCCCAGCGCTCAGCTTTGTCTCTTTGTTTTGTCCGTATCCTCCCGGACTTGTATGTGCCGTTTTCTCAGTTGCATCTGTAAATTCTTTGTTGCCTCCTGCCGGGTTCCTATGTGGCCTCTTGTTTCTTGCCTGTTGACCACTATTGCCCTCCACCACATTGGCCCAAGGGTCTTCCACGAAGCACAATGCTCCACTGACTCCGACATGTTCGATTACTGGGTATGAGAGCTCCCGCACAGATTCCGCAGACATTGTCGCGCGTTGAAGGGACACCAATCCTTCTTCGCAAAAGGGGCGACAGGGGACCAGTCTGTCTGTGGTCTGTAGTATTGTGTGGCATCGATCGTAGCATGCCTAATGCCTGGTGCTTTCTCCGTGCGGAAGGTGATACTGTTCTGTCGGACTCATCTTCGTCGTTGTGGGACGTTGCAAACTTTGTCGGGGGTGACAGGTGACCCAAAACCTGTCGGCGGCTGTTGTGTTGAAGTTGATTGTTTGGGCGCAGTCTTAGTGCTTCGTGTAGCGGCTTGTGGCTCGCCTGTGGTGGTGGTAACAGTGTTGTCTATTGATATGTCGTATTTTGCGGCTTGCTCTCAAGTTTTTCATTGTAGTCGGGGCGTGCTCTGCGGCCATCTTGGGCCCCTTTGGGACGTAGAATCAAGGCCGAGGATGGCATTGCATCGAAGGGGGCTCTGTGGCCGCGAGCACGCGTATTTGGGGCCGTTTTTGCTCCGATTTTCAAAAATTTCGTTCTCGCTGTTGTTGATGTTTTTCACATTTGTACTACATTGATTGATTGATTGATTCCTACACGGTTATGAAGCCGCTCTTATGCTAGCAGCTATGCCCGGAAAGCGGGGTTTGGCAGACAGCCGAAGCATCGACGATAAACCGCGACGCCCCACTTCGCCCTGTTGTTGCATCAGGACCAGCTGTCCCCAAGCTCCCACTATGCTATCTATTCTTGTGTGTTTATGCCCTCTGTTGAAGATTGTTGTCCTCCTGCCTGCTCTCTCGCTTGGTGTTGCCTTCTAGAATCCTTCTTTCGCGTCCTCCTACTTCGGTTCTGTTGGTGCTAGGCACCATGTCTGGTTCTGTATACCTATAGTCTCCCCCCAGCCCTCAGCTTCGTCTCTTTATCTTGTCCGCATCCTCTCAGACTCGCATGTGCTATATCTCAGTTGAATCTGTAAATCTTTTTGTTGCCTCATGCTGGGTTCCTATGTGGCTCTATGTTTCCATCTTTCGACCACCACCTCCATCCACCGCCTGGAGTCGGACTCAATCCGCAAAACACAATGCTCCAACCGCTTCGATTCGTCCGATTACTAAGTATGAGAGCTCGTACACAGATTCCGCAGACATTGTCATACGTTGAAGGGGCGACAATCCTTCTTCGCGGAGGGGGCGACAGGGGACCAATCTGTCTGCAAACTGTAGTATTTTGTGGCATCGATCGTAGCATGCCTGGTGTCTGGTGCTTTCTCTATGCAGGAGGTGATACCGTTCTGTCGGGCTTGTCGTCGTTGTTGTCGCGGGACGTTGCAAACTTTGTCGGGGGTGATAGGCGACCCATAACCTATCGGTGGCTGTGGTGTTGATGTTTGTTTGGGCTTGGTCGTTGTGCTCACGTGATAGCCCGTGACTCAACCGCGGTGGTGTCGATGGTGTTGTCTATTGACGTGTCATACTTTGTGGCTTGCTCTCGAATTTTTCGTGGTCAGAGCCCGCCCGCGGCCACGAGCAGGCTCTTTGGGAGCAGAATCAATGCCGAGGATGACATTATGCCCAAAGTGACCTCTGAGAGCGCGAGCGGGCGTGGTTTGATCAATTTGATGCTGTTTTCAAAAATTTCGTTCTCGCTGTTGTTGATGTTTTTCACATTTGTACTACAGGATCACGGGAACAGCGGGAACTCACTCGGCACGGAAGAACTATGGTACAAGTCACGTGACGATAAGATAAGGAAACGATCAGTGGAGCACAGGACGGGACGCTCAGTGATCAGTTGGCATTGCCAACTGATCGAAAAACATCAACAACAGCGAGAACGAAATTTTTGAAAACAGCATCAAATTGATCAAACCACGCCCGCTCGCGCTCTCAGAGGTCACTTTGGGCATAATGTCATCCTCGGCATTGATTCTGCTCCCAAAGAGCCTGCTCGTGGCCGCGGGCGGGCTCTGACCACGAAAAATTCGAGAGCAAGCCACAAAGTATGACACGTCAATAGACAAGACCATCGACACCACCGCGGTTGAGTCACGGGCTATCACGTGAGCACAACGACCAAGCCCAAACAAACATCAACACCACAGCCACCGATAGGTTATAGGTCGCCTATCACCCCCGACAAAGTTTGCAACGTCCCGCGACAACAACGACGACAAGCCCGACAGAACGGTATCACCTCCTACATAGAGAAAGCACCAGACACCAGGCATGCTACGATCGATGCCACAAAATACTACAGTTTGCAGACAGATTGGTCCCCTGTCGCCCCCTCCGCGAAGAAGGATTGTCGCCCCTTCAACGTATGACAATGTCTGCGGAATCTGTGTACGAGCTCTCATACTTAGTAATCGGACGAATCGAAGCGGTTGGAGCATTGTGTTTTGCGGATTGAGTCCGACTCCAGGCGGTGGATGGAGGTGGTGGTCGAAAGATGGAAACATAGAGCCACATAGGAACCCAGCATGAGGCAACAAAAAGATTTACAGATTCAACTGAGATATAGCACATGCGAGTCTGAGAGGATGCGGACAAGATAAAGAGACGAAGCTGAGGGCTGGGGGGAGACTATAGGTATACAGAACCAGACATGGTGCCTAGCACCAACAGAACCGAAGTAGGAGGACGCGAAAGAAGGATTCTAGAAGGCAACACCAAGCGAGAGAGCAGGCAGGAGGACAACAATCTTCAACAGAGGGCATAAACACACAAGAATAGATAGCATAGTGGGAGCTTGGGGACAGCTGGTCCTGATCTAACAACAGGGCGAAGTGGGGCGTCGCGGTTTATCGTCGATGCTTCGGCTGTCTGCCAAACCCCGCTTTCCGGGCATAGCTGCTAGCATAAGAGCGGCTTCATAACCGTGTAGGAATCAATCAATCAATCATCATTGCCAACTGATCGCGATCACCTCATGCACCTAGGTGATCACCCCCAGGTAGACAAAAAACACTGTTCAGGACTTGTATATAGTATGACCTGAGCCTGGCTCAAGGTCAGACTTCCATAGCTCTTTAGCAATCAACTTTGTGATTACCCTAACCGGTACTTTCAGCTATACCTAAGTGACGACTACTCTACGACTCTTGTTGAGGCCTTGACTGATCACCAAGACCTTTGAAGATCTACGATCTATTCGACCAGGACCACGGAACGACTGTTACTACTCTCAATCCCTGGCTTACTGTTAACACAAACCCACTGTCAGTTAGCTAGCCGTAACACTTTGATTGCTCCTGTTCAGTAAGTCACCTTTTGAGAACTACTAAACAGTATAGACAAGATGTCTTCTCGCGCTTCTGCCAAATCACCCACTCCAGGATCCTCATCCTCTTCGCGCAACCAGCCTCAGAGCCTCGCGCAGGAGCCCGCCAACACTGAGGACTTCGACATGCCGGACCTCAAGTACGACTCCGATGGAGATGGCTCTTTCACCAAGGAAAGCTACGATAAGCTCCGACGCATAATCCAGAAACAAGAAGCCGAGACAAAAGACATGCAGAAAATCGTCAACGAAAACCGACAAGCAATAGAAAACCTCAACGAGCAACTCCAGCACGCTGGACAGGCCTACAAGAAGCTGGAAGAAGACATCAAGGGGGACGCCAACCTCCGGAAGATCCAGGAACTCCAGGGGGAAATCACCACCCTCCGGGCCGCCGCCAACATCGTCACCACGCCCGTCCACGGAGGACGACAAAAGCTCAAGCTTAGTGCGCCTGTCACCTACGACGGAACCCCCGGGACCCTTAAAGGATTCCTGATTCAGGTTAAAAACTACTAGAACTTTCACTATGGAGATTTTACTAACGAAACCGAAAAAGTAGTATACGCAGCCACCTACCTCCGAGGAAAGGCCCTCAAGTGGTTTGAACCAATCCAGGAAGAATACCTCAAATGCGAGACCCTCGACGAGTACACTACCGAGACCCGCGACATCTACGCCAATTTTAAAGGATTCGAGGATACGCTCAGGTCACTCTTCCAAGACCCCGACGAAAAGCGACAAGCCGAACGAGATCTAGCACAACTTAAGCAGACTAAGTCCGCTAAAGACTACTCCGCCAATTTCCGACAACTTAGCGTTCAACTCGACCTCACCGAGGAAACCAAGATCTTCATGTTCTATCAAGGACTAAAAGACGAAGTCAAGGACGAGATCATCAAGATTGATCGACCTGACGACTTTCTCCAGTACGCCGAACTCGCCATCAAAATCGACAACCGGCTTTTCGAACGACGAAAGGAAAGAGGCGAAAAACGACAAAACCCCAACTCAGGACGCAAGTACCAGTGGCAGCCTCAGCACCAGTTCAACAACCAGCGAAACGACAATAGACCCTGCAACAACTGGAACAACCCCCGACAAAGTACTGCCTATGGTTACTATAGTGGACCAATGGACCTTAGTGCTATATAGAGAAACGATAAAAAGAACGATAGTTGGAAGAAAGATAGACAGTGCTATAACTGCTAGAAGATTGGACACCTAGCATACGAATGCAGGTTACCTAAGAAGGAACGCTTCTAACCGGTACTAGAGAAACGACAAGCAAGTATCGCTACGAAGACGATCCCTCATGAACAACTTAACTAGACTACCTGCTTCGATGACAACTGCTATATCTACTCTAGTAGTAAGGAATACGCAGGATAGTACCCCTAGAAACCTCAAGAACGATCTGGTTACGACACTACCAACGCACCTAAACGGACCCTCGCTATGGGATATAGAAGCAATAGCAAAATCGAGCGCAAGACAATCGAACAGCTCGACAGTATGAACGACAACGAGGAATTAGAACAAGACAATCAGCGAAGACTAAACCTCCTCTACGCAGGACGACAAGCTAACCTGCAGCGGATTCAACAGGACTTACAAAACCCTATATAGCAACGACAACTCGGTGCGCTGGACGCACACATCGAACGACGACAACATGCACAAGGAGATCCCGCACGGATCCGCCAAATCAACCAAGAACTAGAAGAACAGGTCGAATCAGAAACGACTAAGAACACCCCCAACGACTCGGAAACACCTCGCGATGTTGCCCGCCAACATGCCCAACTGGAAGTCGCCTTTGAAGTCGCTTCAGTCAACGACACCAGCTCTGGAGAGGACTCTGACGAAGAAATACAGTGGTATCACTGCTACCAAGACCAGCGCCGAGTCCACTATATCAAGAAAGACGAAGCATGGAAGAAACAGCAAGAAAACGACGAACAAGGAACGGACGAGCAGTCAAAAAACTAGACTCGCCTACCGAAGACAAGGGACAACGACAGGCAGTCCAGACAAGGTCCCTATGTAGCGCAACGACGCCCACGACACAACGACACGAGCATGTACAAGTCCAAATACAGCTCAACGGAAGAACAGCTACCGCCATGATCGACAGCGGAGCCCAAGGAAACTTCATATCACTAAGAACGGTGAATGAAAGAAAGATAACCTGGAAAAGAAAAGCAGCCGAAGACTGCTACGAACTCAGCACCGTTGAAGGAGAACAAGTCCAGTACGGCGGAGGACGCATTGCTATAGAGACAGCGCAACTCCCTTTGCAGATCCATGGCCGGAATGAGCGACTGAACTTCGATATTACGGAGATAGGAGACAAGTACGATGTCATCCTTGGAAGACCATGGTTATACGACAGTAACCCACGGATAGATTGGAGAACAGGCCAACTCCATTGGGACCAGGATTCAGTCACTGAGAAGCAACCACGGAACGGTGCCTCAAACGAACCTCTCAAGACTCCTGAAGCGAAGAGATTTCTAGCATACCTACGGATAAAGGATGCAAACGCCAGGACGTTATCAGCAACAGACATCGGCAAGGAAGACCGACTTCTGTCTATCCCAGAAGAATACCGGCAATACCAGAAGCTATTCGCCGAAGAACTCGAGACCGGACTCCCGGAACACAGCAACTACGACCACGAGATACCCCTTAAGGAAGGGAAGGAGCCAAAGCTAGAAGCAATCTACGGACTCAACCAGAAAGAAATGGAAGCACTCGACGCTTACCTCAAAGAAAATCTACAGAAGGGATACATCAGACCCTCTACATCACCAGCGGGATACCCAATCCTGTTCGTACCAAAAAAGAACGGCAAACTACGACTCTGCGTCGACTACCGGAAACTCAACGACATTACGATCAAGAACTGCTACCCACTACCGCTCATCTCCGAACTACGAGACCTGTTGCACGGAGCACAGTGGTTTACAGCACTCGACCTAAAAGGAGCCTATAACCTGATCCGGATGAAATCAGGTGAAGAATGGAAGACAGCGTTTCGAACACGCCGAGGACATTACGAGTACCTTGTGATGCCCTTCGGACTCACCAACGCACCCGCGACATTCCAGACGATGATCAACCACGTCTTACGAGAATTTCTAGATGTGTTCGTCGTAGTTTACCTCGACGACATCCTAATCTTCTCCAAGACTCTGGAAGACCACAAAAAACACGTACACCAAGTACTGCGGAAACTGCAAGACGCCAAACTCCTAGTGGAACCCGAGAAGAGCAAGTTTCACGCCAAAGAAGTCGAATTCCTAGGTTTTACGATAGCCCCAGGAATCCTCAAAATGTCCAAAGACAAAATCGCAGCAGTACGAGACTGGCCTACACCACAGAACGTTAAGGACGTACAATCCTTTATTGGATATGTGAACTACTACCGACGGTTCCTAGAAGGGTACTCAGACAAAAACGACCCTCTCACGAGACTCTCGAAGAAAGATGTTCCCTGGCAATGGGAAGAAGAACAAGAACAAGCCTTCAACGAGATCAAACAACAAGTCACATCGGAACCAATACTTGTTATACCAAACCCCGAGAAACCATTCGAAGTCGAGACCGACTCCTCAGACTACGCTATAGGAGGACAACTAAGCCAACGAGACGACGAAGGACGACTACACCCTTGCGCCTTCTTCTCACGCAAGTTACACGGCCCAGAACTCAACTACCAGATACACGACAAGGAACTTATGGCAATTATCGAGGCATTCAAAGAATGGAGACCGCAACTCTCAGGGACCAAGTACGAGGTCAAAGTATACACCGACCACAAGAACCTCGCACACTTCACCACATCGAAAGATCTCAACAAACGACAAATTCGATGGTCCGAATTCTTGTCAGAATTCAATTTCAGAATCATCTACCGGAAGGGCAAGGAGAACGGCAGGGCCGACGCCCTCAGCCGACGACCGGACCACGAGGTCCAGGTACCTGAGGAAACCCGAGTTATCCTCAAAACAGACAAAAACGGAGACCTTGTGCCAGCAGCCAGACTCTTAATGATGGCCAGAAGAGACAGTACCAGCACGCCTGGAAGGATGTCTCCTGAAGCCATTAGGGAGATACACTCCGCACCCGCACATGGTCACCAAGGCGTAACCAAAACGTAGAAACGCATCCGTCAACACTACGACAAAACGGCTACACGACAAGAAGTATCTTTAGCGATTAAGGACTGTGAGGTTTGTACGAAAAGCAAACCCAGCCGACATCAGCCTTATGGAAAGATACAGCCGCTCCCAGTGCCGCAAACCGCATGGGAATCCATCTCGCTAGACTTCGTCACTAAGTTACCTAAGTCCCGTGAACCGATGACCAACGTCCACTACGACAGTGTCCTCGTCATCGTCGACAGACTCACAAAGTATTCGTACTTCATCCCGTACATGGAGTCTAGCACTGCAGAAGACCTCGCCTACAAGTTTCTGCAGGTGATCGTAAGCCAACACGGAATGCCGAAGGAAATCGTATCCGACAGAGACAAGCTGTTCACTTCCAAGTTTTGGAGATCCCTGATCTCGCAGCTAGGATCCGACCACAAGATGTCCACCGCTTTCCATCCGCAAACCGATGGCCAGACAGAACGAATCAATCAGATCATGGAAACCTACCTACGCTGCTACGTCAACTATCAGCAAGACAACTGGGTTCAACTGCTACCTATGGCCCAGTTCGCTTACAACAGCGCAGTAGGAGAAAGTACAAAAGAATCACCATTCTACTTAAACTACGGATTCAACCCGACAGCCTATGGACAACCCCGACAAGGCCCAACAGCTCTGAAAGCTGTGGCAGATATCAACAAACTCAAGGAAATCCAACGAGATCTTCCCAGAGACCTTGAATTTGTGCGCGAACGCATGCGCAAATACGCTGACAAGACAAGAGTTGAGGGACCAACTCTGAAGGAGGGGGATAGTGTATACCTTCTCCGCCGCAACATCAAAACAAAACGACCAAGCGATAAGTTAGACTTCAAGAAACTTAGACCCTTTGAAATTACGAAGAAGGTATCCAACGTCAACTTTAAACTCGCACTACCCGACAGCATAAAGTGTCATCCAGTCTTTCACATTTCACTACTCGAACCAGCCCCACAAGGATCACGAACAAGCAACGTCATCATTGTGGAAAACAACGAGCCAGAGTACGAAGTCGAACGTATCATCGACCACCTTAAAGAACCCGAAGGATATCAATACCTCGTCAAATGGAAAGGATACGGACATGAAGATAACACTTGGGAACCTGCGAAGAACCTCACCAACGCAACTGACGAACTCTCCGTCTATTGGCAACAACACCGAGAACGGGAAACCACACCAGCGCCAGTAACGCCTCCCAGTCAAACAAACACCAACGGCTACCAACGGATTAGACACCCACACAGACACGTCAGACCACCAGCAGAAGCAGACAGACCGCGACAAGGAAAACCGTTTATTCGGTTAGGAACACCAGAATGCGACTAGGACCCCCCCGATAAGAAGTTTAGAGTACCAGGATTCCAATCAAGGATTGAATCCAGGTCTATCACACCAAAGCCACCCATCGATTGAACCTCCGATACGGGAGACGCCACCGGCTCCTCCTCTGTAACTTCTCGACCTTTTCGGAAAACCATTCTTTTCTGCTTACGCAAACGATCCAACCGCGCCATGGACTCGTCCAACTCGGCCTGCGCGGCACGCAAAGCAGCGGCTTTCTTTCGCAACACCTCCTCCTCAGCTACCTCTGCGTCCTCCAAACGAGCCGCTTCATCCAGTAAACGATCAACTACGACAAGTTAGCAGCACGTACGAAACGCAGGGAGCGTAGAAACGTACGAGCACAAACAGCGTCCGCCGCCGCATCACAAGACTGCCCTAAGCGAGTACACTAGCCGCAAACCTCACCACCCGGAAGAAGCTTGCAACGCTTCCCCGCGGAACGACAGTAAGAACAAGGCATGTCGACGACAAGGCTAAACTTAGCAATACGCAATGCGCGATTACGACGACGAAGAGTAGAGGCAGAACTCGATTTCGATTTTTGAACGCGACCTGACATGGTGTCAGCATCATGAGTAGATCAGGAAGCACGATTGATGGATCCCCAACCTGGGACCAACGACCTACTTATGTTGGGTCTTGAGGACAAGACCTTTGGAGAGGGGACCTGATGTTACGACCCGTAAACAAGGATAACAGCCGAACGACCCACTTGGGCGTCGGGCGGCTAGGACAGGACATTTGTACTACATTGATTGATTGATTTATTCCTACTCGGTTATGAAGCCGCTCTTATGCCAGCAGCTATGCCCGGAAAGCGGGGTTTGGCAGGTAGCCGAAGCGTCGACAATGAACAGCGACGCCCCACTTCGCCCTGATGTTGCATCAGGGCCAGCTATCCCCAAGCTCCCCACTATGTTCTCTATTCTGTGTGTTTGTGCCCTCTGTTGAAGAAGTGTGTTGCTCTCCTGTCTGCTTTCTCGCTTTTGTGTTGCTCTCTAGAATGCTTGTTTTGCGTCCTCCTGCTTCGGTTCAGTTGGTGCTGGTAGCACCGTATCTGGTTCTTTGTACCTACAGTCTCCCCCCAGCGCTCAGCTTTGTCTCTTTGTTTTGTCCGTATCCTCCCGGACTTGTATGTGCCGTTTTCTCAGTTGCATCTGTAAATTCTTTGTTGCCTCCTGCCGGGTTCCTATATAGCCTCTTGTTTCTTGCCTGTTGACCACTATTGCCCTCCACCACATTGGCCCAAGGGTCTTCCACGAAGCACAATGCTCCACTGACTCCGACATGTTCGATTACTGGGTATGAGAGCTCCCGCACAGATTCCGCAGACATTGTCGCGCGTTGAAGGGACACCAATCCTTCTTCGCAAAAGGGGCGACAGGGGACCAGTCTGTCTATGGTCTGTAGTATTGTGTGGCATCGATCGTAGCATGCCTAATGCCTGGTGCTTTCTCCGTGCGGAAGGTGATACTGTTCTGTCGGACTCATCTTCGTCGTTGTGGGACGTTGCAAACTTTGTCGGGGGTGACAGGTGACCCAAAACCTGTCGGCGGCTGTTGTGTTGAAGTTGATTGTTTGGGCGCAGTCTTAGTGCTTCGTGTAGCGGCTTGTGGCTCGCCTGTGGTGGTGGTAACAGTGTTGTCTATTGATATGTCGTATTTTGCGGCTTGCTCTCAAGTTTTTCATTATAGTCGGGGCGTGCTCTGCGGCCATCTTGGGCCCCTTTGGGACGTAGAATCAAGGCCGAGGATGGCATTGCATCGAAGGGGGCTCTGTGGCCGCGAGCACGCGTATTTGGGGCCGTTTTTGCTCCGATTTTCAAAAATTTCGTTCTCGCTGTTGTTGATGTTTTTACATTTCCATTTGTACTACAGGATCACGGGAACAGCGGGAACTCACTCGGCACGGAAGAACTATGGTACAAGTCACGTGACGATAAGATAAGGAAACGATCAGTGGAGCACAGGACGGGACGCTCAGTGATCAGTTGGCATTGCCAACTGATCGCGATCACCTCATGCACCTAGGTGATCACCCCCAGGTAGACAAAAAACACTGTTCAGGACTTGTATATAGTATGACCTGAGCCTGGCTCAAGGTCAGACTTCCATAGCTCTTCAGCAATCAACTTTGTGATTACCCTAACCGGTACTTTCAGCTATACCTAAGTGACGACTACTCTACGACTCTTGTTGAGGCCTTGACTGATCACCAAGACCTTTGAAGATCTACGATCTATTCGACCAGGACCACGGAACGACTGTTACTACTCTCAATCCCTGGCTTACTGTTAACACAAACCCACTGTCAGTTAGCTGGCCGTAACACTGGAATAGCGCAACCTAATTGGACAAAGGATAGGCACGTACGGTCATAAAAAGAAAAGTTGTGAGTGTTGGAATAACGATAATCACATGACCGTACGACAAGGCTGTCACAGGCAAAGGGGTGTATAGGTGGCATGACTAGCACCTGTAACACCTAAATGTCTGAGGAAGGGATCATGGTTTATTACCTGTCATGCACGACTCGTGTCTAGGTATGGACAGAGATATATCTGTTCGTACGGAAGGCAACATCTAGTTAGGAAAGGTAATCACGGAAAATAGAATCTTTGGTTCACCCTACATTTATGACAGTACGATCGTACAGAGAGCCCATTCAACAATTATGTTTAATTTTATTAATATTAAGTATACTAATAGCTAGGGGTAATACTATCTTATACGGTTCCTTACGAAATCGAATATCTTTATAGTAAATAACCTCCTTTCGATTAGGTAGGTAAATATAGTAAATATAGCTACGAAGAGAACCGTAACTAACGAGGAATCCCTTAATTGCTTATAGTTCTATCTTAGCAAAGCGTATAGGGCGTCGAGGGCCTTTCTTATATACGTAGGCAGTATAGCTAAACGTTCGGAGATATTTAATATAGGGGGCCTTACGTTTAGCAGCTAAGTTTAGCTCTCTCGCTATAATCTCGTAAAGGCTTAAGTTACCTTTAGAGGGTATAGGCAAGAGGTTAAGAATCTAAGTTACCGAATCGATACTATAATCCTATAGTTCCTCTAGAAGGGATATGTTAATTAGCTATATCTAGGCGCTTTCGACGATAGTACGACTAGCATGCTTAATAATACCGTTTATAAAAGGCGTATAGGTAATAGTCGTATTATAGTAAGTACCTTCGAAGTAGGGGTTATTAAAAACCTTGATTAGCTCGGGAGTATTATTAGAAACCTAAACCTTAGGCTTAAGGCTAGTAAGACTATAGAATTTAGTATCTTATTTCTTAATAGCTATTAAGATAGTAGCAAACTTATAATTAAGTAGAAAAATAACTTAGTAGTAACTACTAACGTACATGATAAGCGAGTGAGACAGACAAGCGAGTGAGACAGTAAACCGCGACCGTCGCACCTTGACGCGACCGGCACCTTTTCCTCTACAATAAATCATGGAATCAGCTAGTATTGAAAGAAGGTTACAAATTGCCCTTCAAGCAATGAGAAATGACCCAAAACTTAGTGCTCGGGCCGCAGGTGCACTCTATACAGTCAGTCACGCAACATTAAGCCGGCGACTAAAGGGAATAGTCTCACGACGCGACAGCATGCCTAATTCACGGAATTTATCAGATTTAGAAGAGAAGACAATAGTTGAGTATATTCTCGACCTAGATGCGCGATCATTTCCTCCCCGGCTGAGTGGTGTGGAAGAAATGGCCAATCGACTTCTCGCAGAGCGCGACGCGCCTCCAGTTGGGAAGCGCTGGGCTTCTAATTTCGTCAAGCGACAACCACAGCTTAGGACGCGTTTCTTTCGCAAGTATGACTATAAGAGAGCTCAATGCGAAGATCCAGAGGTGATTCGTGGCTGGTTTTCGCTTGTGAAGAATATAATTGCGAAGTATGGTATTGCTGATGCTGATATCTACAACTTTGATGAGACCGGCTTTATGATGGGCGTTATTGCTTCTGGAATGGTTGTTACAAGTGCTGAAAGGCGTTCAAATACGAAGATGACACAGCCTGGCAATAGGGAATGGGTTACAGTTATCCAGGCTATTAATTCCCAAGGGGAGAGCATCCCGCCATACATCATCGTTGCAGGCCAGTATCACCTCTCAAGCTGGTATACAGAAACCTCTCTTCCGGGCGATTGGGCTATTGCAACGTCTGAAAATGGATGGACAACAAACGAGAGAGGTATTGACTGGATCAGACACTTCGACATTTATACAAAACCACGTACGTCTGGGAAATATCGCCTCCTCGTTGTTGATGGTCATGAAAGTCACCACTCCGCAGCCTTCGAGCTCTTTTGTCAAGAAAACAACATTATTACACTGTGCATGCCGGCTCACTCGTCTCATCTACTTCAACCCTTAGATGTTGGTTGTTTTCAGCCGTTAAAGAATGCCTACGGTCGGCAAATTGAGAATAAGATGCGGCGAGGCACAACCTATATCTCGAAGGAAGATGTTACGACCCGTCAGATGCACTTAACAGACCCACTGGGTCGGGCGGCTACGACAGGACATATGTACGTAGGATCACGGGAACAAGGGTAAACCTCTCGGCAAGGAAGAACTACGTTACAAGTCACGCGACAATCGACCAATCAGGACAGAGTCGACAGAGTCGACGAGCGACTCTGTAGACTCCTGTAAAGGACCAATCAGAAGAGAGTCGATAGAGTCGACGAGCGACTCTATAGACTCTCTAAGACATTGGGAAACGGGACTTGTATATAGACCAGGACTTGAGCATCTGCTTAAGCCTTCTAGATAGTTCTTCAGCAATCAACTTGTGATTCATCCTCGAATGACTTTCAGCTTACCTCTCAGTATTGTGAATACTAAGAACCTCGTTACCATAGTGTAAGACTGATCACCTTACCCTAACCCTACGATCTACCAGAACGACCTCTACGAACCAGTGTTAGTCTCTTACTGCACCTTCTGTTAGCAGAACCCTACTGTCAGATAGCTGGCCGTAACAGAAGATTTCTTTGCAGCATTTCACGAAGCTTTTAAGCAGTCTTTTACGAGGAAAAATATCCAGGGAGGTTTCCGAGGAGCTGGACTTGTCCCTTTGAATGCAGAAAGTGTTCTCTCAAAGCTGGATGTAAAGTTCCGAACGCCAACGCCTGAGGAGGGGGTCCCTCAGACACCAGACCCTTGGATCTCTAGGACGCCGAGCAACCCAAGCGAAGCAAGATCACAGTCTACTTTTATTAAGAGTCGAATCTCACGCCACCGAAGCAGCTCTCCAGCATCAATTTATAGTGCTGTGAGTAAGCTAGCCAGAGGGACAGAAGGACTAGGGCATCGGGTAGCATTACTAGAGTCAGAGGTTCAAATCCTTCGAGAGGAGAATGCAATATTAAGTCGGCGTCGAAGGGCTAAGAAAACACGTCTACAGAAAGGAGGAAGTCTTACTATATCTACTGGAGAGGATATACAGTCGCAAAGAGAGGCAGACACGCAACTACAAGAGGAAACGCGACGGAGTAGTGGTCGCAAAGTGAGGTCTGAGACGACTCATCGTCGGTGTGGCGTATGCGGGAATACAGGCCACAACGCGAGAACATGTCAATTTATTGAGGAAACATCCGAAGAACAGGAATCCGAGTAGTATTAATCAATCTAAGATTTCTTGTTATAGATTTCGATATTATTGTCGCGAAGGTCTGGTTTACTGTCTCACTCGCTTGTCTGTCTCACTCGCTTATCATGTACGTTATACTTATTTATAAAGTATAAAACCTAATAGTTCCTTTTTATTAATAAGAGAAGAATATTAATAAGATTAAGGTAAATTTTATTACTAATACTTATAAGTAGAAGTAGGTAGTCTCGACTAATCCGTTTAGTAGATTTACTAAGATAGTAAGACTTATAGAAGAAAGCGTTAATTTCTAATATTATAAACCGAATGCTAATACGGCGGCAAGCCTTTATAATACGTAATAAGTAGGCGTAAACTAGCTAGTAGTATATTAGTTTAAAAAACGGTTGCTAGGTAGCTTAGAAGGCTGTAAAGCTAATAGTAATATCTCGAGGTATATAATTTCTAATATTATAAGTCTTAATAATATAAATATTAAAAACCTAATAAACTTTAGTAAGGGAAGTATGCTATATTATATATATAAGGCTTAAGGTCTACTAATTATATTTTATATAATTACGACGAAGTTTTCTAAGGCTAAGTAAGTTAGTGTTAGAAGTATAAGTATATTATACTTCTATTTTACTTATTTATCCTATTTAGTCTTATCTAAGACTTAGTAGGACTTACAAAAGTAACTAGCTAAGAATGGCTGCTTGCTAGTTTAAACATATGACATTCAGATCCCTATGGAATACTCTCTTTAACCTTATCTAAAAGTCTATTTAGTTAAAGAAGATTCTAGTCTGATTTATAAGCTGCTTTATAAGCTAGTTGACGTATATACTTACGTATACTAAACCTAGCTTATAGCTTCCTATATTAGCTATTATAGGCGACGTTATACTACTATATAACTAGCCTAATTCTCTCCCTTAGCTAGCTATTAGTTCCTCAACCAACTCAGCTTCAATATAAGCCTATACATTCTTTACTATTAAAGCCCTACTTCATAAGTACAAGTTCCCTTACTCTAATACCCTGTTATAAGGATATCGTACTATCTACGAGATTCCTACCTACCGTTCCAACAGTTAGCTAGGCTAGAAAGGTTATACTTAACGTTATAAAGTATCTAATCGTAAATAACGTTAAGGTTAGTAAGGTCTAGGGTCTAGAAGAAGACGGTACCTATGCTAAGTAACTAGACTAAGGCGCCGGAAGTAGAAGTAGAAGGTATTAAATCGCTCTTTTTAGTATACTTAACGAAATATCGTAAGTTATTAAAGGTTAAAGTAGTATAACTAGAATCGAGAACGATATCGTCTTAGGTAATAAGGTTATTATAAGTAATAGTAAAAACTACTAGGCTAGTAATAGAAGCAAGGGCAGACTAACCTAAGATAGTAGGTAACGCTTTAATAATAGTCTAGTAAGTATTATTAATAGAAGTAGGCTAATCCTAGTAGTAGCGATCGCTATATATATACTTTCTTACTTTTTTAATTAACTTATCTTAGTTAATATAGTATAGAGGAATAAGATTAATGTTACGGCCAGCTAGTGACAGTAGGGTTTCTGCTAACAGAAGTTGAGGCTACGATACTAACAATAGGTCTTGCGTCGTATACAGGTATGTCGTACTGGTAGATCGAGGGTTAGGGTAAGGTGATCAGTCTTACACTAGGTAACGAGGTATAGTAATATCACAAACTGTGAGCTAAGCTGAAAGTCATCGAGGATGAATTACAAGTTGATTGCTGAAGAACTATCTAGAGGGCTTGAGCAGGTGCTCAAGTCCTGGTCTATATACAAGTCCCGTTTCCCAAGGCCGACGTCCGCGTCGTCGCTTGCCGATATCTCGATTGTCGGCAGCCGACATGCCAAGAGTCGTATCTCTTATTCCTTTCTTATCATCACGTGACTTGAACATAGTTCTTCCTTTTCCGGCGGGGCGACCCTTGTCCCTTCCGTCGCCTGCATATATCTTGTCTCTAGCCGCTGTCCTCGAGTGGGGCTAGTTTCTCTGTTAGGCATACTTAACGGGTCGTAACACTGGCTAAGACCAGTAGTGGCGGCCGTCAGCCCACGTGACGGGCCGGCGAGGCCTGCCACCTACAATTCATTTACTAGCTTTAAAACTCTGAGAGAAGAAGTTCCCTTTCAGAATCGAATTAGGCAGGTGGGACGATAAAGCGGCCACTATGATAGCACTAATCAGAAGCACGATTTAGCATGTTAGGGCAGTTGGACTCTAAATGTTAGTCTCTATTCGGCACCATCGGCTGGAGTGCCACCGAAGGTCAATCTAATAGTGCGAAATCTTGTGAAGCATTTGATTAATACGAGCAATGTTTGCTAATCAATATCATATGATTACTAACTTCCGCTAGCAAAGGTCTTCAAATGACAATAGTCTAACTAAACTTTAGTAATGTGGTTTGAATGATGGACTGTCAAAGTTGGTGTATAAAAGGAACGCCGTCCTTTAGGGCCTCACTCTTGTTGTACCTTTGAACACATCAAACACGCCTCCGTCATCAGAAAGAATAAAACAAACATACGAAAAATGAAGTTTACTCTCGTTGCTAGTGTTCTATCTTTGCCAGGTGCTCTTGCGGGAGTTTTGGGCAAGGACAACTCTCTGGAATCTCGGACAGAGCATCTCTGTAGCTGCAAGCTGTAAGAACCTTTTCTTTGATTAAATATATGCTACCTAGCCACCAGCACACAATGCTAACATCTTCAAGATACATTGGAAGTACTGTGCTCCAAGATACTTTTCCCACAGGATCTGGTTTAATCCAGCGGAACATGTTCGTCGTGAACAGCAACAGACAATACTGCAGCGTCAAGTTTGACCGTGGAAATGAAGGGGGATGTGACAAGATCAGACAGGTTGCGGGACCTACTGGCCCTGGTTGCCCACAAAGGTTCGGCACTTTACAATGTGTCCGCTTTGACCAGTAGAGTTAGACGATACAAGGCTATATGAATATCACTCCATTGTGTTTTTATATGTACGTGTAATCTTTGCGTTGACTCAGAGTTTCTGTGTTGAGTTAGACCGTAGCTTTACTACCCTTATACTCTTTGACTAAGCGACGATAGCTATCTGCCCTTTAGGTTTCCCATGAAAATAATTATCAGACCAGTTTCAACCACAAAGCACTGAGACATGGACTAAACAGCTAAATATGATTTGAGGCTATGTCACCACCATTCTTCTTTCCATCCTGGTCATCTCATCACATATGTGGGCACTCATTTAACAAACTCGAAATTCTTCCGGAAGGGCCATTATGTGCTCGCCATGGCATGTATCGCTGCTTGTTGTGGTCACTGGAAACGTTTAAAGGGGTTCAGTGATGATTGAATATCTCTTTTCAACCTGAAAACTCTTACTGAAAAAGCCCTATAATGGTTACTGGTCTCACCTCTAGTTGTTCGATCCTACCGCACGACCAATGTACCCATTTATCCTACGTAATCTTTATTTTTTGCAAGACCCATAGGACTTTTGACTTCACCCGCTAAGCTAACACTACTGATCGACAAGGCAAATTGCGTTTCACCTAGACAGTTCTCATTCACATAGCACTCGGACACCAGGGAAGCACTTCTGGCTCTGCTTCACCAATTTTAGTGTTTGGCAGTACCATCTTTCACGCCTTTAAATCTTCTAGTTGAGATGAATGGGCTCACTGAGCACGCCTACATTGGTGTTCCGAGCATTGAAGGGAGAGACCAAAAAACCTGGGCAGATGGCTGCTGCAGCAGCGACAGAGGTTACGGCACCAACCACACGTTGTCATACAGGAGCCGTATGGAGAAGATAAAGAGCTCTAATTTCGCTCTCAATTTTAATCTGCCATGAGTGGAATGGGCATTCCTTACGTCCTGCCTACTCTTCTGTGGCTAATTAGCCAGACACCAGCTCATGATCTTAGAATCTAGCTAGCGTGGGCCGTCCGCGCCGACAGGATATGTAATGGGCGAGGAAAAAGCTAGAAAATTTGTCAAAATCCAAACAACATGGTATCATCATCAATGTGTATATCGCACGCGGGCAGATCTGGGAGCCACTTTGGGCAAGTGCAAGAAGCCAGAAGGATAAAACCAGGAGTAAGAATGTATCAGTTTTGTCCAATGAGCTTTCGGTTGATGGAAGCTGGAATATAAATAAAAGCGGCCATTCCTATATATCTGCTGTCGTCCTCAGCCTCTTGAAAGGGGAATATACGTGAGAGAACAGTGTATTCCACCAGCGGTTCGGGAATCATGGCAACCGACCTCCGAGCGCATGTCATAATATCAAACCAGAGTGGTCAGGCGTGAAAGGAATAGAGAGGGCGGATGTTCAGATCGTCTGTGGTAACGTATTAGAGCGGCCTAGATTTAGTGTATCCAATAATCCGGTGATTCCATTACTTTTAAAGTACCTAATACACTGTAGGAAACAATCTCTCATGGTGTCTGCTTTACTCAAGAAAGGTTGGATTCCCTTTAGATTGGATAAATTATTGAAATCGCAGGTCTTTACAAAGTTTCAGGAGAGAGGCAGATCAGGGCTACTCTCTTCTTAAAGCTTATTTCATAGTAAGTAAAAAGATAGACTGTGTACTTGTGCCTTATTCGGGATACTTGTGGGAAACAATATTAGAATAGCCTTGAACGTTTGATCGTTAAACGCTGAAATAAACGCTTAGTCACTACTCGCGTTGTTCCATTCATTCTGTCAACCTTTTTAACAGCAAACCCTGCTGCGGCTACCTGTGACTGGAGGGGCTGTTGTCACGCAGTCAATTTGCCCACCACTTATGGGGTAAAAAAAGATGCTTCCATTCATTAGAGACTGTCTAGGGGTTATTGGGTTGATTATATAACCGTCTATTCGGTAATTACCGATTTGAAGGTTTTCATGCACAAAATGACATCCCCGTTAGTTTTATATGGGAAACAATAGCCGGGTGCATGGGTTGAATGCATGCCCCGATATATGCAGTGGTCCGTGTGACACACCCCCTCAGAGAGGCAACCTGTTGTAGGTTGATTCTCTGTATTCTCATTCAAATACAGAAATGATACTATTCAGAACTCCGTATACTTACTACCAAATTCCAGATTCATACTGCGTTCTTCTCGATCAAATGTTCAATATTCGCCATACCCAATTGGGCGATAAAGTGGTTGTGTTTTTGGGCTGGCATTGCTTTAGTCATACCGTCTGCCACCATTTCGTTGGTTGGAACCCATTGAAAGTCAATTGATCCCTTCTGTAATTCCTGGCGAAGCCATAAGTTGTTGATATTGATATGGCGTAATTTGCTAGTCGCTTGGGGTCTTTCAGCAATCAATAGTCGAAGAGTTTGCTTATTGTCGCATTGCATGATGTATTTATCATCTAATTGGAGATTCAATTGTTCCATGAGTCGAATGGTTGCTATATATTCTCTTGTGGCTGCTGTCAAAGCAGCAAGCTCAGCTTCTGTGCTTGAAGTGACTACTCTTCGTTGTTTGACTGCTTTCCAATGAATTGGACCTCCGAATAGCATCATCACATATCCTTGAGTGCTTTTTCGAGTGACAGAGTCATCAGCGAATGAAGCGTCTGAGGCGCAGTAGAGGACTCCTTTCCCTTTGCAGTTGAACTCGATAGCGAGGTATTTGTTGTCCTCAAGATATTGTAAGCATTCATATGCTGCTTTCTGGTGTTCAGAAGATGGATTTGATAGGAATTCTGCTAGTCTCGAGCTTGTTCGAGCTATATCTGGTCTGCCAATCACTCCAGCATAGTTGATTGATCCAACCTTCCGTTGATAGTAGTTGATTTCCTCTGGCGTAGCCTGACCAGGACTTGGGACCAGGTTATCTATTGCCATAGGTGTTTGGCGTCGCTTGGTTGAGGTTCTGATCTTGAATTCTTCAGTGACCTTAGATATATAGTTGTCGAGACTCATCCATAGTTGACGGGTTTTTCGTTCTCTTATTATTCTGACTCCTAGGAAGATACTCAATTCTCCCATATCTTTCATTTCATACTCCTTTTTGAGTTGTTGAACTGCTTCTTTTACTTTGGTTTCATGCTTTTTATGGTATATAACCCCAATATCGTCCACAAAGTGGAATACTATGAAGTATTGATTGGTGTAGATACAGTCATCTTCTTGGAGTGGGATAAGGCCAAGCTTCTTGAATGATCTCTCCAGATTCTTTTGCCATAGCAGTGGGCTTCGTCTCAATCCATATAGTGCTTTTCGCAGGGCAAGACAGTATCCCTCTTGTCTGAATCCTGGAGGAAACCAAACATAGACTTCCTCATCAATTGTGGCATGTGTAAATGCGTTGACTGCGTCCAATTGAAGAGTCTCTAAGTCAAATCTCGCCACAATTGCCATGAGACTTCGCAGCGATATACCAGCAAGCGTTGAGGCATAGGTCTCTAGTTCATTTGTCGGTTGGAGATCTCCTCGAACACAGATCCTCGCTTTGAACTTCTTGAGATATCCTTTGCTGCCCTTATATGTGAATACCCACTTCAATGGGATAATTCGCTGAGTGTCTTGATCAATATTGCCAAGATCAATCATTTCAAACGTGCCCATTTGCCATAGTGATCTGTTCTCAATATTCATTGCAGCAATCCATTTGTGACTGTATTGGTGTTTGATCGCTTCACTGTAATTCTTTGGAACTGGTGGAAGTGTCTTTTGGTGTGGATTGCCTAAATCATCTGCTGATGCATCCCATTGATCTCTTCCTTTTACTGTATCCGTAGATTGCAGTGTGAAGTGGGATTCTCTTGCTCTTCTCAGTCTTTGTGATGATCTTGTTGCTTCTGGTGGCTGTTGATTTGTTTGACCAAGAGGGGCTGATCGATTGTAGATGTTGTGATTTCTGCTGCCACGAGGTCTTCCCCTTCTCGCTATGTTTGGGATTACTGTGGAGGAATCTTGTGGTATGATTTCTTCTGGTTCCAATTCTATGACTGGTGTCTGTTGTAGTTCGAGTCGGTCTGTTGAGGTTTCCTCTATGGTCTCACTTTGATCCGATTGTTCTGGAGTTGGCGATACTTCTGGAGTTTCTGGAGTCTCCCTCACCCCCTCAGTTGTTTGAGAATCTGACAGCTGTACTGTTGGTGATAGAGAAGTGGGTGTAGGTAATTGAAAATCCCCTGATTCTTTCTCCTGCATCGGTGTTGCCGGTGTTGTTTCTTGAGCGGCTGGATTCGAGGCGGGTAGTGGCCCGGTAATATTATCGCTGAAATCTTCTCCATCCCAGCCAGCTGTGTCTAGGTCTTGTTCAATTGGATTTGTGAATGGGATATCCATTTCTGTGAACTGGAATTCAAGTTCCATTTGGCTTAACTTGCTGGTATCCTCAATCCTTGGATCATACAGCGTGTTTTCGTCGAAAGTAACGTCTCTAGTTCTCATGACTTTTCCTATTGCTGGGATCCAGATTCTGTAGATATTTGTGCTGTCATAACCACATAGATAGCCAATATGAGCTCTTGGCGCAGTTTTGTTTGACTTTTCTATTCCTCTCTTGTAGTTTTGTGTCAAGGGGTAAGCTCTGCAGCCATATCGCCTCAAGTGTGCTAGTTGTGGCTTTTCAGCCCTCTTGTGGGTAGACTGTTGATGAGAGTTCAGCCAAGTGTTGACCAACCCCAATGGTGTCTGCCACTTGTGGCGTCTTCGAGGCAATCTGTTTGACAGATAAACTGCTGCTTTTGCCAGCTCTGGTGCCATCAATTCAGGAAAGCGAGATTGAAATCGAAGTGCTCTCATGATCATAAACACAGCACCTCCAGCTCTTTCTGCTGGGTTTTGAGCACCAGTGTACTCAGCTGATCTTTCAATCATATATCCATTCACAGCTGCCCATAGTTCAAACGCATTGCGTAAAGCAACCTCCCAATCTAGGCGTAGAATAGAGATTTTGATAAAGCACTGTCTCTCGAGGTATGC